TTCCACGTCTGAGCAGCACGGGGGATGTGGTAGCTCGGTGGTCCTGAGGTTGTGGATTTGAGCCTGGGTTAAAGAATTGGCAAATTTTTTTGTGACAACCTCTGCAGAATGAAAAAAACATATTTTCCAAGCCAATCTTCCTGTTAAAAAAGCATGATAACCTGAACTCATAGGCCTGTGGAATACTCCTCCAAGTATCCTGCCCGTATGAGTCTATTTTTATTTGTTTTTTTTCTGCAGTGGTAACTTGGATAAGCAGACGGAGTGGGGGAACACCGCCCTGCATTACTGCTGCATGTACGAAAAGCCAGAGTGCCTCAAGTTACTCCTGAGGGGCAAACCAGCCACCGACATCAGTGAGTCAGAGTTCATCCTCTAGTTTATGTCGTCTGTACACACACATCAGGCTCTAAGTGTTGATTTTTTTTCCTCCCTCCCTCACACTTCAGCCAATCAGAACGGAGAGACGGCTCTAGATGTTGCCAGGCGACTGAGGAACAGTCAGTGTGAGGAGGCAGTAAGTACAGGAGCCAGCCAACTGGATCTGCTAAACATTAGGGCAGAAAATTAATACTCCACTTAAAACCCTGAAGAATACAAGAAAAAAATACATGTTAGGTGAAATAAAGCAAAACATTAGGAGCTTGAATGCATGATAGGAGACGTATTGAGCAGATATTGAGTTAGAACACTAGATGGCAGTCAAACGTCTGTCTCCAGCCTCAGGCGGCCTGAACCGTTGAGTGGAAGGAATCCTTCATGAGTGTTTATTATTAACGCGTTTGTGAACAAGCAGATAAAAAAACTAAAATAAATTAAGTGTAGTCTCTAATATATAAAATAAATCTGCACAGATATATTCTGAATCACATTTTTTTACTTTCATAAACTAGTAAACAGAAAGAAAAAAGATGGTTTAACTCAGGGGTCTGCAACCTTTATGATCAAAAGAGCCATTTCTGCTACTTGACTCTGATAAAATGTGTACAGAGCCAGCTACAACTGTGATTATCAACTGGTGGTCCGTGGGCCTTTTCGAGGCCTTTTCGGGAACCTTTACGGCCAGTGGAGGAAACATAAAACTAAAAAAATATATTATGAATTTTATTATTTATTATTGTTTTTTAACATCAGGACAAATGAAAAGACCATATTCATGTAAAGAAGAAAAAATACTGTAAATAGTTTATACCGGCTTTCATAAAAACTAGTAAACCTGAGCTATTCAGGGTTTTATTTTTATTCTTATTATGTAATCTTCAAAATCTTTAAAGGTAATTCTGATGGAATTTAAGTAAACATCAGGCTAGCATGAGCTAACATGTTTTATTTTTTTGTATTAGTAGTAGTGATCACATATTTGCATACAAATTTATTTCTGTTGTGAGTATAAAAAACAAACAAACAAAAAAAAGAGAAAATAAATACTCTGTTTGGTCACATTTTCAAAGAGCCACTGTAAAGGGAACAAAGAGCCACCTGTGGCCCCTGAGCCACAGGTTTAACTCAAAATGTTTATTTCTGTTCACGCCACCTTTTTATAATCGGTTGTCGTTTAATAAAAATAGATTGCAGAGCTGTGTTGTGATGCTGTCCTGTTTGTGACAGCTTGTGCAGGCTGCAGAGGGCAAGTTTAACCCCCACATCCACGTGGAGTATGAGTGGAGCCTCAGACTGGAGGAGATGGACGAGAGTGATGACGACCTGGACGATAAGGTGGGGACACTTTATTTGTGGTTTTCACATCAACAAGGCCTTTYATCTACATGAGAGTTGAGAGGCTGAACCAGAGCTGTCCGTCAGGGTTACGCCACTCTGTATAATCAACCTCATCTCATTGGTGTGTCGCTCCCCAGCCCAGTCCCATCAAGAAGGACCGCTCCCCGAGGCCTCAGAGCTTCTGCCACTCCTCCAGCCTCTCCCCCCACGATAAGCTCTCCCTGCCGGGCTTCATCACCCAGAGGGACAAGCAGCAGCGGCTCTCCTACAGCGCCTTCACCAACCAGATGTACAGCGCCTCCACCGACCTCAGCTCCTCCCCCGTGGCTGACGGGCCGCCGCTGCCGCCCAGGAACCAGGGCAAAGGTCAGACACAGCTACTCCAAAAGCTCATTTATAGATGGTCCTCGGTTTTATTGGTCTGCCGCACCCAAACTCAGGCTATCGTGCTACGCTAATAACGTGACCCGGTCATCCAGAGTTAACTAAAGGTTGTGTTTCCTCAACTGTGTTGGATTATCATAGACAAAACATAGGCTTCACTAAATTCATCATGATCAAACCTATGAGAAGGTTTCTGTTTCTGCTGTCACACACACACACACACACACACACACACACACACACACACACACACACACACTTGTATTGGCATCAAACTGAGGACTTTGTATTGACTTCCATTCGTTTTTGTAACTGTATTTATGCCTAACCCAGACATTTTCCCTAAAATTAACCATTAATGGTCTATAGTCAGGGTTATATTTAAGCGGTGCACATGCACGATCAAAAAAAAGAAAAAGTGCACCAGATGGAATGTCATAAAGCTCACTTGCGTACCTGATATTACCTGAGATTGTGCCTGAGATTGTCTGTCTAAACAACAACTAGCAGGGCTCTAGAGTGCGACCAGTTTGGTCGCAAATGTGACCTGATTTGTTTAAAAAAAAAAAAACCCAGCTGCACTGGTATGACTGGATTGTTGTTCGGTGCTCACCAAGCCTCGGGACAGCGGGACCCTGATATAAGGATTAAACGGACACTGCCTTCAACAAATCAGATGAAGTCCAGAGCTGTTTTATCCAATCAGAGCAGAGCAGGGCAGGACTTTCAGTGAGAGCGGTTTTCAGCAGAGACGAAGGTTGAAGCAGCGGATCGACTCGAGCAGCGGCTACAGCGGTCAGTCCTGACATCTCCTCTTGCACTTTGCTCCTGAACTACCAGAGATTTAACTCTGTAAAACCTAACTTTATATTAAATATATGTTCAGAATGTTGTTATTGAACAGATCTGTCCAACTTTGTGTGAGTGACTAAACTCTCTCTCCTGAGAGACTGTTGTGACGGGAGCGCGTCGCTGCGCGTGCAGGCTGAGTCTTTCTGTGAGATTCACTGTTTGAGTTCTTCTAAYTAAAMCACATTAACTAACAGAACATTTGTTTGCCCCATATTAAAGCAAAGATGATTCTCTGTTTAACAACACCCCCGTCAAAAAAAAAATAGATATACAGTATTAAAAAAATAAAAACAACTTGCCTTGCTCTCTAGGTAAATGAGTTTTAAATGTTGTTTTAATTTATCATAAAGATCCACAAATTTCATTCTCAGCTTTATAAAAAACAAGGTTCTTGATGTGCTAAACTTGTTTATATTTAGAACCATACTGTGACACAGCTTTCCTAAAATGTAATTTATTAAATGATCAAATATGAAGAATAAATAATTACATGATCTGATATTTTTGAATAAAATAGTCTTTTAAAAAATAAATCAGTATAACAAATAAAAAAATTTGTATGTTTTAAGTTATTTTGCTCTGTGCAAAAGACAGATATTTGCTGCTTGGACTGGAGAGTGTGGAAAGCTGGTTTAACCAAGGCTGAAGATGCAGAAGACCAAACAGGAGCTGTCCATCTGAAGGACGTGCAGTCTAAAACATATTTAACCATGAAATGTTCAGTTTGTGATGTTTATATGACATTCACTAGCCCCTTGAACACTTAGGTAGTTTACAAATTTTATGCTGAGTAAAAAAATAAAATAAAAACTCGGTGGACTGATTTGGCATGATGTCCTGAGG